GCAGAGAGCTCGACCTATGGCGAAGTTATTTTTCAGACCGAAGTGCATGTGTGGTGGGTGCTAGTGGCAATGTTTGGAGAAGGGGGACGAGGGGTTGTCCACAGGGTTCCATCTGTGGTCCATTTATTTGGAATATTATGATGGATCCCCTTCTACACTCCCTCTCTCAGTCATATAAAGTTTGTGCCTATGCCGATGACATTCTTATCATTATCGAAGGTCCAACTCGTGCTGAACTGGAGAGATGTGGTCAACAAGCAATGAGTGTCACTGGTGGTGTAGAGGTAGCTGCTGACAAAACATCTATGATGCTCTTTAAGGGTAGATTATCGCATGAGCGTCCTCCGCTTATTAGATCCAGTGACAGAATTATAAAATACGAAGCAAAATTGAGGTACCTGGGCATTATGGTTAGTGAGAGGTTGAACTTTCTGACGCACATTAAATATGTGAAAGATAAGCTGCTTGCTGTAGTGGGTAAAGTAAGAAAGATCCTTAGAAGCGATTGGGGACTCAGCAGACGAGCTGTACGTACCATATATGGTGGGCTTTCTGTTGCTTGTGTTACGTATGGTTCACCGATCTGGTACAATACAGTAATGTCTGCTGCAGGGTTAAGGAAAGTTTTGACTTGTCAGCGAGTAGCTTTGCTTGGTTGTATGCCTGTGTGTAGAACAATTTCGACGGACCACTTCAGGTTTTACTAGGTGTTTCTCACCTTGGTTTGGAGGTAACGCGTCATGGCATCGCCTTTAACATTAAGAGAGGTTTACCTCTTGTGAAGCATGACTGGGTTACATCGTTAGATGTGTCTCAAGCTGTTATGATGAATAAAGATCTACTCCTAGAGTGTTTCATTGCAACCTGGAGATTGCAAAGAAGATTGAATGAGAGTCCAAATGGAAGGGTCACATACAGCTTTATTTCTGGTGTGACACTTGTATTGTATCGTCCAAACTTTGGTTTTGGTCTTAGTCTTGGATTCATACTGACTGGTCATGGTTCCTTAAATGCTATGTGACACTGCTGAATGTGCATGTGGTAGGGGTCGTGAGAACCCCGTGCATGTGCTGACGCGGTGTCCATTGTATGAGGACATACGAGACACTGATAAAATGGGTTTGGTTTTTGTTGATGAATGCTGCGAAGATGAGGGTACTTTTCGTGCCTTAGACGTGTTCTCCAAGCTGTTCTGGAATCTGAGAGCTAACCATCACGTAAATATATCCTGGTAATTTTTGTTGCTGTGCCTACTTCAGGCTCTAAATTGCAGGTCTTCCTTGGCGGTTGTTGGTTTTTGTGGCACGCTGTTAGTGTCTTCGTTGTTGTTTGATGTCTTTTCCATATGTTGTGGAATCTTTCGTGAGGAGGGTCTTGTTTATTGTTGTGTTTTTGTCCTTACTTGTGAAGGAGATGACCATGTATTTGGTCCCAAGTCATCCGTGAGGGAGACTGAGTCGTTGTTTGTGCTTCCACTGTTGATGTACGTTGTTGATACATTGCTGGTTTGTAATGGCGTTGGCCACCAGTCCAGGACTGTTTGGAACCCAACTGGTAGTAACTTCGGTTACAAAGCCTGACCGGAGGCTATATTCTGGTAAAGCGGGTGCCATGTGGCTCTGGTTTAAACCCAAATCGCGGGGAGAGTGTATTGGTCGAAAGTGGAGTTGCATTATCAACCGGGTGCTGAACCATAGAAAGGCAGGAGTTTAGATAGGCTCCGCTCGTAACCAAGGAGGTGGCGGCGTCCAAATACGTGGAAGCGAATTGGTACCCACTTTTGTGGGGGCGTTGGTAGACGCATTGTATTCACCCGGGGTTTGGAGTCCGTGGGATTAAGCCATAGCGGCAGGTACCCACGTACTCAAAATCAGAACCCTCCAGAATATTTTCATGATAATATTTAGCATTTATTTTGATGCCACGGTCGATTAATACGAGCGGCCGGCACCATGGCTTGAGTTCTGGTGGCTAACTGATGGTGCACATATTCAGCTGACCTCTTTGGCAAGTAAAGACGATCATTTTGTTTGATTACAATATGTTGGACAATGAATGTTTTCTCATCGGAGAAAACCAAATTCGGCAGTTCACCACTTTTGGCCAAGCGAAGCAACTCTTTAGCTCTTTTGAGTCTATTTTCTTTCAGTTGCGGTATAAGTTCTTGCACTTTTGTGGAAGAGCTCATTTTTCAATATTTGCCGAATGGAATATTACGATATGTTCAGCTCACGAGACAATATAAATATAAAGAGAAAAATATAAAGAGATAACACTATCACGCTTGAATTCCATCACAAATAACTTTTTTTCTAGAAAATTCTCACCAAAATGCTTTTGTACGCTTGTAAACAATATAATGAGCTGTCACTGGAATAATTTTAACAGCTGTCGGACGAGTGCCTTAAAGTAGCTGAAGTTGGTTGCAGTTTTTTCATCTTACCCTGTGCATCTGTCGGCAAAATCCATCACTACAAAAACAAAACTTTGCTGTGAAAAAGATCTGCCAATAGAACTTGAGTCGAACCTGGAGAGTTTCTAGTGTATAATTCGCATATGCTAATTTGCAATAAGTTCGAAATATATACTACTTTCCAGAGAACGGCCCTTGTAAGCCATCATCCACACCAAATATGCCTGATGAGCCGCTTAACCAACGGCGAAACGCGTCGCATAGTGGTGAGTGTGTGATAGTGTCTATCTGGCTTTCCTTTTCACTGCAAATTTCAGATCATTAAGCTCGTCTCGAAAGAGAAAACAAACACATAAATCATAAAAAAACATATGATCTTCGCCTTAACAAGGCAAAACTCAAAACCGACTGATATTTTTTTAACTTGTTTTTTTTTAATACTTGATTACGTTGTAATTTTTAACTTTAGGCAAAAGTACAAAAATCTGTATTGTCTACAAATGAAGGATTTAGATCCTCATATAGAAAAAAAAAAAACAAGAAAGACGGTATTTTTCACGATATACCAAATCATAAATCAACAAGTAAGCAAAGGCTACAGTCGACCGGGGCCGACCGTTGAATACCCTACAACACTATAATAAACGATACAGTTTATATAGGCGAGATACTCGAAAGAATTCCACAAGATATTGTGACAAATTATAAAAGAAAACCATCAGGTTTCGTTCTCTAATTTTCGAATAATAGCAACTTAAACTATTTTGCTCATTTCCAATTTATTGGTAGATGTTGCACTTAAATGGTCTTCCTAGATCTGGAACCAATATTTCCCAAAGACCTATAATCTCTCAGAAGTGGCAAAATATTAACATTTATTATTGGTTTTTGACTGAAACGCATCTATATGAGATACAGACATTTGACTATATTCGTAAACGAAATTGTCAGAAGTGCGTCTTTCCTGTATTTGTGAATTCTCGAAAAAGTCTCTGGAATGGACATTTTCGTATTTTGTCTACAAAAGTTGGCAAACTATTTCACACATTGAATATTTTTGGATGGCCATCCAAAACTGCTTGGCTTTTGCAATGTCCGGTAACCCCATACAAATGTGCGTGAGGACCGGGCGATTATTACGACCTGCCGACAATTTTGCAGTTTTTTGGTCCATTTCAACCCCTAAATATATGGCGATCATCTCCAAAAAGAGTAGGCTCCTATTCTGACCCTCTTCTTATCCCCATGCAAAATTTCGTAAGGATCGGGCCATAAATGCGATCTGTATATGATATCCTGATATCCCAACTACTTAGTTTTGTTAGCTGTAGGAATATTACCAAATGTTTAATTCAAAATGAAAATATGCCAAAAATATGACAAAATTGAAAAAATATGAGAAAATTTTACAAAATCAATATTTTCATCTTTAGGGAGATATTTTTATGCGATTTTTTTAGACGTTTTTTCTTTCCTGCCAAGAGGCCATTCTGAATTAATGAGAACTGTCGAAATCAGTTCAGCCGTTCTCGACATATAAGACATCTTTCAAGCATATCTTCTTTGATAGACATATATATCGCACATATTTTGCTATATATTCGATTTGTTGGATGTTAACATCAATGTAAAGATCAGAATTAACCTTGTCATGGCTTTATGATTTCGCCGAGATTTAAAATATTCGCGGTTTGACGAAAAATTTTGAATTTTTTCAATACAAAAGATATGGTCTATTTTACCCGCTAAATATTATCCGATGACCACCCAAATTGGTGGGCTTCTTCCCCTCCCTAAGCTCCAGCTACATGCGAAATTCCGCGTCGATTGGTCTATAATTGCGACCTGTATAGCTTCTGCAAAATCCGACATTTTTTCAGTATTTGGTCCATTTTAACCCCTAAACATTTGGCGATCATCTCCAAAAGCAATAGGGTTCTATTCTGGTCCAAGCCCCACCTACATTCTAAATTTCGTGAAGATCGGACCATAATTGCGACCTGTAGAGTGATTACAAATTAACATGGACAGACGGACAGACGGACGGACGGACATACATAGCTAGATCGACTCAGCTCGGCGAGCTAGGAAGATCCATATATACTTTCCTATATGGGAAATCAATATTTCGAGGTGTTACATAAATTCTGGCCCAATCAAACTTATAATACCCCCAACACATAGTGTTGTAGGGTATAACAATGCCAAAATTCAGATTTCTTCTCATTGATATATAAATAACTTCATATCATTTTCATCTGATACGTCAACCTTTTAAATTTATTAAAGTATTCTATTGCTTATTCGTCGTTCACTTTAACAGGAAATATTTATTACGTCAATTCTAACACCTTCATAAAAATTCTTCTTAATTTTCCTTTCTAATTCCACAATTATTCGAAATTTAGTTTTAATTAATGAAATATTTGAAATAGAAACTAATTTTGCGGTAGATTTAATGAAACCTAATTGGGATTTGTGTGCAATTAAATGAAATTGTAGTTATATTCCTTAGTTTCATATTGAACGAGTTCAGGCGATGGTTATGCAAAGTGTATATTCGCAAATGCATATTTCTTCTACTTACCTTTGCACTTTGTTCCGTGGAATTTTCCGCGTCCTCGACGTAATTGTATTCTTTTGATTTCTTCAATTTCTTCTTAGAACTGTTTATCCGTTTTTCGGGACATTCCTGCTCCTGCTCCTCCCGATGTTGATTTCGGTTGGCCATGGCCAAGACAGCTTGTTGTGTGGTGTCATCGTCTTGTGCGCCACGATGAGGACGATGATGATGATAGAGGAGTAATTCCGTCAAGTTTTGTGGTACATCAACGAAATAATTATTGTTGTTAGTACTTTGGCGGTGGTGGTTATTATTGGCAAGGTTGGTGATATTGTTATTGTTGCTGTCGCCATTGTTGTCGATGATACTCATTGTGGCGAAATATTTATTTGTAAGCGAATCGCTGTGATGGCAAGAGTCTCCAGACCCAACAATTGCAATTGTAGTATAACTGTCATCGTCCACAACAGACTCTATGACGTCTCCATAGTCATTACAGTCGTCATTTCGTTGGGCCGCATTGTTGTCGTCGTCATTATCATCGGCAACGTTATTTTCAAATGCATCATTGCTCTTGTTGGGCCAATTGTTAGTGTTGATCTTTGGCTGATTTTGCTCCACAGCAGCCAGCAGTCGGTATACAGCCGTTCCATGGTCCGGTGAATGTAAACAAGTGTTTTCGTGGTTATTTTCTTGTTGCGATGAAAGATGCCAAACTTGTTGTCCGTCCGCATCCAGTGCAATGTGTTCGCAGCTGTGTGCCTGTAGAATGTGCCCCTTGGCCTTTGGTCCGACGTCTGCTCTATGGACGACAACCACCTCGCCACTGCCATTTGATGGTGCACAAGCATCGTTGACAGCAAAGTACTCGCATAATTGATTCCTATGCTTGTCCTTAAGTGCAATATACTCTGAACTTTCGTTGAATTTACTTAAAATATGGCTGGCTGTTGCCAAATCTTTTTCAGATAATGCTATCGTAAGAGATGTTGGATTTTTCGATATACACTTGCCCATAGGTGATAACTATTTGTTGTTGTTATTGTTGCTAGTGGATATGTTCAAGTATTTGAAGATGGTAACGATGCTGGCAATGATGCCTGAAACGTAAGAAAAAGAAAAAAAAAGGACTTAATCTAAAATGTTTGGATAATGTTAGAGGTGTCACCCATGAATATATCTTCCAAAGGTGGTGTAGTGGTTGTGGACTATACACAAATACACTTGTTTTTTGTTGTCATTACAGTAAAATGTAAGAAAGTAAGTTAACCGTGGTATGTTGCAACATACATTATCACATGTGGAAATGACGAACAGAGGTCAATCTCACGGAGTTTTTGCCCTATTGAACTAATTTCCTAAATGTGTTTTGGAATTCGCTATTTTTGTAAGGAGAATCGGGTTCAGTGAATCTTAGCTCAAAAGCCCAAAAAGTTTGAAGGTTATAAACGAGTTTTCGAAAGAAAATTTTGATAAAAAAAACAGTTATCAAAAAATTGCACACGAATCTTTCCGAAAAAAAATATAAGACATTTAAAGTGGTTAGCGCAGACCCCAACCTTTTTTTCTCGATAATGGACCTACCACCCCGTGGTAGGTTCATTTAAATTGTTTTTTATACCCTCAGTCATATGGCTAGAGAGGGTATACATATATCGTTTGATACAGCCAAAACGTGCCTCAACGAAATAACGGTTTTAGACCCAAGGTCTCTTTGAACAAAATTCGTTTCAGGACACTTGAAGTCGATTTGGCGATGTCCGTCTGTCTGTCTGTCTGTCTGCCTGGCTGGTGCGCACGATAACTCTCGAATGGAGTATCCGATTAGGTTTAAGCTTGGTACATCGTAATAATATTATCAAACTTAGATAGAGTTCGGAGATGGACAACATCGGTTCACTCCTTCTAGTACCTCTCCCAGAATGGGTCAAATTCTTGAATAACCATGAAGCTCATAAAACGCTGAATTAACATCCGATTCCAGTCAGATTAGACACATCTCAAAGTTTCCATCAACACAAGATCTGTTATGAAAGTGGTAGAGATCGGATCATTTCTTCTGGTACATCTCCCATATAGGGTTCAAGATTTTGAAAAACAAACCGCTCAAAGAAAGCGAAATAAGCATCGAGCTCTCTCCAAATGTTACACACACAAAAAAATTTGCTAGCACAAAATCTGTTTTGAAGATGATATACAGGGTGAGATAAAAAAAAACTGCAACAAAGACGAACGCAATAATTTTTACATTTTTTTTAGATTTTATTGAATGAAAGTGAAACAAGTAAGCAAAGGCTACAGTCGAGCGGGGCCCACCATTGAATACCCTACAACACTATAATAAACGATACAGTTTATATAGGCGAGATACTCGAAAGAATTCCACAAGATATTTGTGACAAATTATAAAAGAAAACCATCAGGTTTCGTTCTCTAATTTTCGAATAATAGCAACTTAGATGGTAGATGTTGCACGTAAATGGTCTTCCTAGATCTGGAACTAATATTTCCCAAAGACCTATAATCTCTCAGAAGTGGCAAAAGATTAACATTTATTATTGATTTTTGACTGAAACGCATCTATATGAGATACAGACATTTGACTATATTCTTCATCGAAATCAGCGTTAACGAAATAGTCAGAAGTGCGTCTTTCCTGTATTTGTTAATTCTCCAAAAAGTCTCTGGAATGGACGTTTTCGTATTTTTCTACAAAAGTGGGCAAACTATTTCACACATTGAATATTTTTGGATGGTCATCCAAAACTGCTTGGCTTTTACAATGTCCGGTAACCCCCATTCAAATGTGCGTAAGGATCGGGCGATAATTACAACCTGCTGACAATTTTGCAGTTTTTTGGTCCATTTCAACCCCTAAATATATGGCGATCATCTCCAAAAAAAGTAGGCTTCTATTCTGACCCTCATCTTATCCCCATGCAAAATTTCGTAAGGGTCGGGCCATAAATGCGATCTGTATATGATATCCTGATATCCTAACTACTTAGTTTTGTTAGCTTTAGAAATATTACCAAATGTTTAATTCAAAATGAAAATATGCCAAAAATATGACAAAATTGAAAAAATATGAGAAAATTTACAAAATCAATATTTTCATCTTTAGAGAGATATTTTTATGCGATTTGTTAGGCGTTTTTTCTTTCCTGCCAAGAGGCCATTCTGAATTAATGAGAACTGTCGAAATCAGTTCAGCCGTTCTCGACATATAAGACATCTTTCAAGCATATCTTCTTTGATAGACATATATATCGCACATATTTTGCTATATATCCGATTTGTTGGATGTTAACATCAATGTAAAGGTCAGAAGTAACCTTGTCATGGCTTTGTGAGTTCGCCGGGATTTAAAATATTCGCGGTTTAATGAAAAAATTTGCATTTTTTCAACACAAAAGATATGGTCTATTTTACCCTCTAAATATTACCCGATGACCACCCAAATTGGTAGGCTTCTTCCCCGCCCTAAACTCTAGCTACATGCGAAATTCCGCGTCGATTGGTCTATAATTGCGACCTGTATAGCTTCTGCAAAATCCGACATTTTTTCAGTATTTGGTCCATTTTAACCCCTAAACATTTGGCGATCATCTCCAAAAGCAATAGGGTTCTATTCTGGTCCAAGCCCCACCTACATTCTAAATTTCGTGAAGATCGGACCATAATTGCGACCTGTAGAGTGATTACAAATTAACATGGACAGACGGACGGACGGACGGACGGACATACATAGCTAGATCGACTCAGCTCGGCGAGCTAGGAAGATCCATATATACTTTCCTATGTGGGAAACCAATATTTCGAGGTGTTACATAATTTTTGGCCCAATCAAACTTATAATACCCCCAATACATAGTGTTGTAGGGTATAAAAATATCGGAAATAATTTTAGAATATGTTTATATTTGTTCGAATTGGTCACCATTGGTATGAATTATGGTCTTCAAACGGCCAATGAAACCGTCATACGCTGCCCGAATGTTGCTCTACGGTATTTAGGCCCATTCCCGGTGAAGCGCTTGGTTGAGGTGATCGACACTTTGGTATGTTTTAGTGCCAACCTTGCTTTCCAAAATACTCCAGACACAATAGTCCAACGGATTGGTATCCGGAGATTTTGGTGGCCATTGTGCGCTGGAAATGAAGCGAGGAACCTCATTTTGTAACCATTCTTGGATGGAGCGTGCTGAGTGCCATGGTGCTGAGTCCTGTTAGAATGTCCAAGGTCTGCGGCCAAAATGTTTGTGTGCCCAAGGCTTTAATACACCCTCCAGAATACTTTCGTGATAATATTCGGTATTTATTCTGATGCCACAGTCGACTAATACGAGCGACCATCGGTTGTTATGGCGGGCCACACCATCACCATGGCCGGCGCTTGAGTTCTGGTGGCAAACCGAAGGTGCACATTTTCAGCTGACCTCTTTGACAAGTAAACACGATCAATTTGTTTGTTTACAAACTGCTGGACAACGAATGTTTTCTCATCGGAGAAAACCAAATTCGGCAGTTCACCACTTTCGGTCAAGCGAAACCACTCTTTAGCTCTTTTGAGTCTTTTTTCTTTCTGTTGTGGTGTAAGCTCTGGCACTTTTTGGAATTTCAATGGCTTTACCCCGAGCTCATTGGAATATGGAATATTGGGATATGTTCAACTCACGAGTTATTTTTCGGCCACTGCGATGTGGGTTTCGATCAAGTCGTTTCTTTACTTTTCGAACCATTTCTGCTGATGTTGCTGTTTTCTTTCGTCCACTTCCTTGACGTCGGGCAACGCTACCAGTATCGGGGTAACGAGAGATGGTACTAGATACAAAAGATTCATTCACATTTAAATGCTGGAGTGCTCTAACGAAAGCCACTTGTGGTTTTCCAGCCAAATATAAAGAAATCAAACTATCACGCTTGAATTCCATCACGAACAACTTTTTTTCTGAAAAATTCTCAAAAATGCTTTTGTACTCTTGTAAACAATATAATGAGCTGTCGCTTGAATAATTTTAACAGCTGTCGGACGAGTGGCTATGAAATGACAGCATTCTGAAGTTGGTTGCAGTTGTTTCATCTCACCTTGTATATCTTTATCCGATTTGACGTTTATTGTACACCAAATGGTTAATATCAGCCCAAAGAGAAGGTTTTTTGGCTAATTCAGCCAAGAAGCAAGTGCATAAAATATGTTGAAAATCGGTTCAGATATAACTATTACTCCATATATATGTTCAATCCGATTTTGTGTTTAAGTCCTCCACATTCGTATTAAATCGGTTCCACATTCGATTTGGTACTTAGTACCAAATATCAGATACTGCTCAGAAATACCTCTGCCGAATTTTACCGACATCGGTTCAGATTCGGATATAGCTTCCATATATACCTTCGTTCGATTTGAAGATTATTGTTCGCCAAATGTGTATTATTAACCTAAATGGGAAGCATTTTTGCAGAGACTATAACATTTAGCCTAGAATCAAATGTTTTAAATTTCGCTTCAGATATAGTTAGAACTCTTACTTATTTGTTGTATCCAATTTTACATCTAATCCGCATAATACACTAGTGAAAATCGATTAAGATATGTATAGCTTTTATAGGTTAGTTTTAGCCTATTTCAAATTTAAACCGGTTTGAATCCTTAATACGCACTTAACACCTAAATTGTCAATATGAAAGTTTATTTGCTACACGAGACTCTACTAAATTGTCATAGTGGTGTTGGGTATCATAAAGTCGGCACCGCCCGAATTTTGTAGTAAATTACTAGTTTGCTTTTACATCTCTTGTCACCTCTATATCATATTTCATATTCGTCATATTTAATATTGAATAGAATTTCAGAAATTATGATTTGAAGGGAGAGCGGCAACTATTAAGGTGTTTCTGAACAACAATTATACCTTTATTATAACTTAGAAATTAGTCACCCGATCCTCTCGAAATGGTCACAAATAATTTCAAAAGTGGACCAAAATTTATATCCAAATGATCTGCTGAAATTTTAAAACAACTACAAAAATATTTTGAATAGTGTAGATTTTAACAATTTACTTCACTACCTCAACTAGCTCCCTCAGCTCCCCCACAATCTCGTCTTTTTAGGTTTGCATAGGAATTTGGTATTGAACATGATACGCAAGAGTATTCATTGCATTTGTTTTTTTTTTTTTTCTTTTTTTGGTTATTGCGGTTGATCTTAAAATGTTTTCTTTTTGGCTAATAAACTATGGCTCTTAAAGACGGTATCGTATCGTATCGCATCAGTGTCAGGTCTGTTGCTGCCGCAGCTACTACCACATCTTGCCCTTCTCGACAGGAAAAGTTAAGTTTACTTAGCACAAATGTTATTTCGATGTAAGATATTGCTCCGATTCAATTCAGTGCCAAAAGCATGCAATGCCTTGAGTATCAATGTTAGCGTCTCACATAAAATTGCTTCGTCTGTTGAGTTTTGTGGCTTTTTGGCTGCCGCTGTCGATGTTGTTATTGAACAATTGATAAGAATGCCATATATGTACATCGATGTCGATACATACCTACGTACGTTCATACGTACGTACGTACGTTCATACTGTGTGCTGTGTTCTGTACGTAAGCCGGTGAGTATTGATGCACTTTGAACTGCTATTATTTTTCTTGTTGTTTGCCAAACACTTGGAATTGTTTAATTTTGTATTTTGTGCACAATACGATTTGAGAACGAAAAATTGTTTTCCTTTTCGAAGCAGGCATAAACAATATAATCATTGCTTATAATCGGAGATTTGAAAAACAATCTAAGAATAACTGTATTACAGTAATTAAATGTTCAGTGGAATGGGTTTTTCTATGAATCATATTGCAATGGCATTTTCGCAATTTAATTTTCAGTAACAAAATTAGTGAAAATTTTACTCTGGGAAATTTATTTTAGTTTTTAGCTATTGGATTCCAACTCAACAGAATGTATGAAACCACCTTTTAGAGTCTACAATCGCTATACCGTTGCAGGCCCACCTAATACCCAACGTTCTATATAAAAATATTCACCTTCCCCGCCATAGTGAAATATTTTGTACTCCAGTAGTCCTCGAATGCGCATGGTCCATATCTTCAGAGCCACCAAAGAAAATCTTAATAAAATATTATAATTTTTCTAAATTTAGTATTTTTTGTTCCAAATATTTATATTTTTTCTACGACATCTTAAAAGACTAAGATTAAGTAGTGTTGGCACGTTCCTACCTCTTCCAAATTTTTTGAAAATTTCGGGTTAAGATTCTTTGGAACCCGGGAATTTTAGGTTATAGCGTCTTCGGCAATATTATTGATAAGAATACTGGATTATTTTCTTTTTTATACCCTCCACCGCACATAGTAGGGAGGGTATACTAAATTCGTTATTCCTGACCTGACAAAGTATATATATTCTTGATGTTCGCTTGTTGTAATCACGCTAGAGTCAAAACGAATTAAGGTAGGAATTTAAAATGCACAGATCTGACTTTTGTCTGCAGGCAGGTCAAATTCGAAGATGGGCTATATAGATCCACGATATCGTAAATCCCCCTTATAACTACACCTCGGTTGATGATTTTACCCAAGTATTTCAATGGAATCGTCTGAAAATCCACACAAAGAATTCCTTGTGAGTACTTACCCCCTGGAAGAGAATTGTATATATAGGTCGATGTTTTAGTATAGCACCCATATAACGGTTCCCCCAGATGAGGTGTCTTTATGATTATAGCGACATTATTGATAGGAATTGGGCATATTCACGTCTTCGTTTAGCCCCCGTGCAACGATACCTCCCGATAGTCGGTATTTTGATCATTTTATCGACATTATTACCTGGCATTTAAATTTCGTATTTAAAGTTCGCAATGGCTTAGAAATGACAGCAGTCTGAAGTTTGTTGCAGTTTTTTCATCTCAGCCTCTATAGCTCCGATATTGTATAATATAGCCTTTTAGAAGTCATATCATGCGCTCTATAGTAATGCTATTATGCTCTAAAGGCATAATACACATTCACAAAAGATTCATGGTGGTTATGATCTACGTCACATAAATTCCTTAAATTCTTGTGACAGAAAATTGCATATGCAGGTCCACGTCTTCGTATATCCTCCTTATAACGTTACCGTCTTAAATTCGGTATTTTTATGATTTTATCGGCATTATTCAACGCCATAACTTTTGACAGAGATGTCACATCGCTTAATGACCTACCGCATTTGAAGCGTCAGTCCAAGCAGATTTTTACCATGAACCAATACACGCTACGCGAGCGCTCTGAAATAGGTGAAATTTACAAGAAGTCAATTGTGAAAACTCAAAGTGCTTTTACAGCAGTAAAAAATGTGAGAAGTGCGCCTTCTAAGAACACCATTAAGCGTTTATACGAAAAATTTTCGACTGGTGATCGGCCGAGAATATCGCTGCCGTCCCCAGCCAGTGTTGAGAGGTCCCCAAGAACATCCCAAAAACGCCGTTCTCAGCAGTTGGGCATGGCTCGGTCCACTTTACAACGGATTATTCGCATTGATTTGCATTTGTTCCCGTACAAAATTCAATTGACGCAAAGAATGTTGCCTGCGGACAAGCCTCGTCGATTGGAATGGGCCCAAAGAGTCATGGGTCCGTCGAATATGGGCAACCCTGCATATGCAGATTCATGTCTTCGTATAGACCTCGTGCAACGATACCTCGGTATTTTGATAGTCGATATTTTGATAATTTTAGCGACATTATTACCTACGTCCTCGTATAGCCCCCATATAACGGTTTTCATTTGAACGTTCTTTTAGTGTTTGACCAGACAAAGGACAACTCTACTTGTAATACAGGGTGAGATAAAAAAGCTTCAACAAAGTCGAACGCCATAATTTTTAAATTTCTTTTTTTAATTTTTATTGAATGAAAGCAAAAAATGTCGAAAAATAGCATCAATTTTTAGAATAAGTTTAGTTCAAATTGGTCACCTTCGGCACGAATTATGGCCTACAAACGGCCAATGATTGATCTGGGGTATTTTGGCCCATTCCCGGCGAAACGCTTACTTGAGGTGATCGAACTTTGGTATATTTTAGTGCCAACCTTGCTTTTAAAAATACTCCATAGACAATAGTCCAACGGTTTGGAATCCGGAGATTTTGGTGGCCACTGTGTACTGGAAATCAAGCGAGGAACCTCATTTTTTGCATTTGTACGAGACACAAAAGATTCATTCGGTTTCAAATGCTGGAGTGCTCTATCGATAGCCACTTGTGGTTTTGCAGCCAAATGTAAATAAATTACACTATCACGCTTGAATTCCATCACGAATAACTTTTTTTTTTCCTGGAAAAATTAAACTATATAATGTTTTCCAATCTCACCGTGTATAATTGTCCCCTTATTCGGAATTTTGACGATTTTAGACACACTTTCTTACATATTAAATTTAATTTTGTTATTTGGACTCTACCTCCTGTGGCAGAACATTGTATCACTGATCGACGTTTTCGTATATACTTCATATAATTGTACCTTCACATATTAGGTATTTAAGCTACGTTTTTAAACGGCAGAGCTTCTTATTCGAAAAGCATACAAGCCACTGTTGCAGAATATTTTCTAAAAGGTCCACGTTTCCCTATAGCTCCCATAAAACGTTACCTACTGCTATTCGGTATCTTGAAGATTTTAGCAATATTTTCTGATGAAATTGCTTTAAGTTGGATTTCATAGAGAGTTCTATTCCTATAAGAGAACCATTTCCATACAGGTCAACTTTTTTCTGTATTTTAGCCACATTTTTTATATAATTGTTAAAAATTTGGGCTGTACGTTCATTGTGACAGAAGTGTCGTATATCCAGGCAGATATGTCTTCTTATACCTTAGGCCACACTGAGGAACAGGGTATCATGTCTTTGAGCATTTCATTGTAACAGGCAGAAGAGTACGAAATGGTCCCATAGTTTCTTTTGATGATCTTCATAGAATCATATTCTGAGTCGAATTATGAATGTCCATCCATCTGTCCATGTATACTCGTAAACGAATTACATGTAGCATTTATTGAATTTTAGCACATACGTCCAAGTTAATATATCTGGCAATTTTGGTGAATATCGGATTTTTGCAGATACGACCGAATTTAGCCTTGAAGAAAATACTCCGTCCGACTTTTGACCATGCATTTCTAGGTTACTTGTTTGTTATTGTATTCTGAGGCACATACTCAGTTTATCTATAACTTTCGACTTACTTTTAATGTAATATTTGGATCATCTTGCTTCCGAAGATTGATGTAGCTATTATTGAGGATATATTAAGTTTGTCATTCCGTGTGTAACATAAATATTCCTAAATCCCTAAATATACGTCGTAGACCCCATAAAGTGTATACATTCATGATTAGCTTAAAATTCTAAAGGTAAGGTCACATTGAGCAAATATTTGACACAAATATGTTTTATCATATTTTCCCAAAAAAATGTTGTTTTTATACAGAGTTGATTTTGTGTTCACATTGCTCACATTTATTTCACAAATTTTGTTTGTTCAAACACCCATCAAATAGTGGCAAATAAAGCAATGACAAAACAGGTTTGACGTGCGGTCACATTTGAAAAATATATTTGATTAAAAAGCAGTTTGATCAAACTATCAAAAAACAAAAAATTGTTTGGTCGAAATATTTAAAAGAAGCTATGCAGCAGGAAGAGGCGCTTTTTATTTTATGTTGTGGTGCAGCATCATATATTGCTGTCAAAGAGGACGAATCCATGAAAAATAGAAAGAAAAGACCATGGGTTCGAGAATGGTTGCGTCAAAGAAAGGAGGAAGGATGTTGCGTCAAATTGCTGACTCAACTGCGGGCTGAAACACCATCGCTCTATAAAAATTTCTTGAGGATGAACGCGGCAGATTTTGACAATTTGGTGAGTTTGCGTATAATTGAGATGAAATCTATAATGTTTCTATCATGGACCCCTTAATAGCTTAAATTAACTGCACCACTTTTAACCAAGAAGACGACACAATTACGTGAGCCGATTTCAGCTTCAGAACGGTTAATGGTTACACTGCGATACTTGGCAACAGGCGAGAGTTTCCGTTCTCTGCAATTCATATTCCGTATACCTCACAACACTATTTCAACTATCATTCCTGAGGTTTGCGATGCTATTTATAAGGTTCTACAGCCTGATTATTTAAAGGTAAACTATTAACTACAGCGTAAGTTCGGTCTGGCCGAACTTACAAACGGAATTACAAAGTTAATATAGCTTCCATAGTATAATTGATAAATTTGTATTGCTTATAAAGACCCCATCAACGGAAACAGAATGGCTAGCAGTATCGGAAAAATTTTATGAGAAGTGGAATTTCCCAAACTGTATTGGGTCTATAGACGGCAAACATGTCGTTATGACAGCGCCTTCTCATTCCGGAAGCATTTACTTCAACTATAAAGGCAAGTTTATTACTTTACCTATATTGTAATCAATTATTATTATTTTAATTTGTTATAGGAACTCACAGCATTGTACTCATGGCTATTGCAGATGCTTCCTACAAATTTTTATATATTGATGTTGGGTCCAATGGAAGAATATCAGATGGTGGAGTTTTCCGAAAAACGTCATTTAATAAAGGTCTGGTTAACGAAAAACTAAATTTACCACCACCAGAACCATTGCCAGGCAGAACAGTTTCAGTTCCTTATGTTCTTGTTGCGGATGATGCATTCGCTATGACACCCAATATATTAAAACCTTTCAGTGTCCGCAATATGAATGCAATTCAGAGAATTTTTAACTATCGTTTGTCTAGAGCTAGACGAGTTATAGAAAACGCATTTGGAATTCTGTCTGCCCGCTTTCGTGTACTACGAACCCCAATAAAGGTTGATCCACCAAAAGCAATAAAAATTACTACTGCCTGTTGTGTGTTGCATAACTACCTGATGTGCCGCAATAATTCGATATACTTCAACCCAAATCTAGTGGACCACTATACACAAGATGGAACACTAGTACTAGGTGAATGGCGCAGTGAACGGGCCTCTGATAGTCTTATAAATCTACAACCTCATCGGTCTTATATTGCACCTAATTGTTCTACTGTAAGGGACGAGTTTTCCCAATATTTTGTAGAAGAAGGCGAAGTTCCCTTCCAATACAAACATATATAAAAGTTTAAATAAAATGATATAAAACAATTTAATTGTAAAGATTTTATTTACAAGCTTTTAAAACAAATGAGATTCATAAAACAGAAAAATAAAAAAAAATCATTAATTATTTTAAAAATTAATTAAGTGATAAGTCAGTCATATAATAAAAAGAAAATAGGGATGTTTTAACACTCAAATAAATGATTGCTTCTCTCCTCTTCCAAACATTGTAAAAAAAACAATGTAACTTTATTTCTAACTGAAGCAGATCCACTGTCACTGAGTGTCTTCAGCTCACTTAGGAGATAGTTTGCGAATGACGTGTTGGGATCCAAGCTGTTTTGGTTGCGTTCTTTCATTGCAGCAACTGCCTCCCGCATAGTCTCCGCAATTTGTGTTGTTGCAGATTGTACAGTTGGAGCCTGTAACCGCCGTGGTGTTGATGTTGGTGGTGGCGTTGGCAAAGATGGCGATGCACAAACATCAAAAGCTGTAGAAATATTGAATTGAAATATTAACAAGGTAGAGATTTTAATATATATATACAAATACGGAGCAAGGCGAGCGTAGGGGCTAAGCTCGGATTGACCTAAACAAAATGGTTATTATTTGAAAGCTTTTGGAATTACCTATCCAAAAAGTGGTCGGGGTTGTTGGAACCGGTTCCGGAGTAATACAAGAAAAATTGTATTTTAGTACCATTACTTTTTGAAAATTCTCTGAAAACTTGAAAATGGACTCCATATGGGGTATAAAGATGTCCATACTACATTATGCATTGGTATAGTATAATGAAGCATGGACATTTTTATACCCCATATGGAGTCCATTATCGAGTGTTCAGAGATTTTTCAAAAAGTACTGGTACAAAAATACAATTTTACTTGTATTGCTCCGGAACCGGTTCCAACAGCCCCATCATACGACCCATTTTGTTAACCTCTAAACTCGCCTTATACCAAGAATACTTACAATTACTTTCTGAATCTATTTCTATTAATATGTTTGAAATTGTGTCTTGCGTCTGAGCCTCTTCATTTCGTCCTACAAACTTCATGACATTAAAAAATCTCCATTTAGGTGGTTCAATTGCGCCTTGTCCCGACTTTGTTTTGGACCTGGCCGCATATCCTCGATACTGTATCCTCAAGTTTGTCCACTTTGCGGTGAGATCTGCAGGGGTATATTTATCATCAAATTGTTCGGAAATGTGCCGCCATGCGTTGTCGCGGAGTATTTTGTTGTGGTATCCATCACATCCCGCATTCCACAGACAACTTTGTTCCTCCACTAGAGCAATGAGTTTAAAAATATCTTCCTCTGCCCACTCCTTTGCAACCTTTGGCTTTCCCCGAGATTTCTTCTGCGGCACTTCATATTCCATTTCCATTTTATTTATTCGTTTTTTTTAGAATCACTTCTCACTTTAACTTTTAATTTTTCCTTTTTGTAGGTAAACGTTTATCTGCACAGCTGTTTTGCATGTCAATGTTGTCAATGTCGTATTTGAAATAAAAACGCTTTTAGCGATCAACGTCTTTTGGGATTTTAATATACAACTTTTCAGTTGTAAATCGAATAATTTTGGTTTTAATTGGTAACATTCCATTTGTAATTCGAGAAATAATTTGTAATTCAAGTTATTGCGTTTATAATTCGAATGTGTCTAGTTGAATTGAATTTCAATCCAGTTATAAATTGAGAATTCTATTTGTAATTCGAATAATTCCATTTGCAGTTCGAATAAAACTAAATAGAATTGCAGTTGGAATTCTCAATTTAAAAAAGGAAATTATTTGAATTACAGACATATTTCTTAACTTACAAATAAAATGTTACGAATTAAAACTAAAATAATTCGCTTTACAACTGAAAAGGTGTAGTATAACGAACAAAAAGATATTTGTATGTTGTTTTTATCTGCAATGCATTTGCGGTATTAATGTAATTATATAATTTGTTAATATCAAATTGCTTGAGAAAAGTGATTTTTAAATATAAAAAGCTGACAACAGTGATGCAACAGCTGTTATTTCTCACTGTTTTCTCATACAAAACCATTGCAAGGTCAAATAAATGTTTACTCTAAATAGAGGAAAATATTTGATTACAGGTGTTCACATTGTGGCCACATTGATCAAAATTTTCTTTGCAGGCAAATAACTTTGTTTTCTCGAAATCAGCTGTTTTTGTGTTTGCCCTACAAAAATATTTTGTGGTCAGATTGTGGCAAAGAAATATTTGAACTTTTTCGTCAAATATTTGCCCAATGTGACCTTACCTTAAGTCGATCTAATGATGCCTGTTTATCTGTCTGTCTGTTTAAATCACGATGCAGCACATATTATTTGACGTAGAGCTTCAAAATTTGGCAGAACAATTTGCATTGTGTCTAGGATGGTGAGTATTGAAAATGAGATATGTCGGTCCACGTTTTGATATAAATCGTCTATATTCGGTATTTCAATGATTTTTGTCACAATTTTTGTCTAAAATTGGTATTTGTAGTTCGTAATGGATTCTAAATCCTGTTTCGGAACACAGTATGTCCACGTTTTGGTATTGCCCCCACATAATGTTACCTCCGAATATTCAGTATTTTTATGATTTTTGCCACATTTCCCAACGGATTTATCTAAAAATTGGTATTTATAGTTCATAATAGGTTCTAGCTCCGGTGACAGAACATTGAATACTTAGGTCCACGTTTTCCTAAGCGCACATATAACGATACCCACCTATACTCGGTATTTTGATAATCCTAGTCATATTTACCCACGAAATTGTTTCACGAAATTTGGTATTTTAGTAGATTTGGTAGACAACAATCCTTGAAGTATAAAATTGTCGGTTTGCCCGTTTTGGTATGACCCTCATAAAACGGCCTCACCCACTTTGTTTTTTTTTTGAAAATTTTTACAGCATTATCCAAACGTTCTAATTGGTGTTTGTAGTTTAAAGTGGAACACGTTTGAATTCTGATACTTTTATATACAAATGTTTTCTTTACCGAAAGTTGGAGGGTATTAAAAATTCGCCCGGCCGAACTTAATGTTTATTCACTTGTTTACCAGTAAATCATACTAGTAATAATATGTATAAAATCTTTTTTGTTTTAATATGTAAAAAATATATAATATAATTTCAGCCAAAAAATGTTATAACCGAAAATATTTAAATAGTATTTTTAAACATTTTTATTATAAAAAATTGTCTAACTCATCTTTTATATTGCATAACTGTAACTGTGTACAAACATAATCGAATATGCTTTTTAACTATAAAAGACTGTTAGAAAATATATCGAAACACAAATTACAATCACGTACATATTTGAACTCCTGAAGAGTACTCCTTCGTTCCAGATCATGTTTTAGTTTTTCAAAGCACGAAATAAAACAAAGTATTCTATCCATTTATTTCCACCATCGAGGCACTTGAAGTTTATTGTTGCTTGTTTTGCTTTTTATTTGTCATGTAGAGGTGAACTGATCCTTTTAGCATGATTTATGATTTCACCTGCTAAGGGAATTAAAATGTTTTTCTAGTTGTCCAGGCCTCACACATCCTTCAAGCAATCTTATCATTGTCGTCATAAAAACTCATTGCATATGCACATAATAATATGTTTGCAAATACTTTTTTTTTGTTGTTGTTTTTCTTTTCCTTTTTGCCATCGTGTGGATGATTAATTGAAAATTTATTTTATGTCACAGCAGCAGCAGTAGCGTAAAGTGTTTTTACTTTCGTAAATCAAAAATTCTGTACGATTAAGGATGACGCAGAATACCAAAGTACATAATGATGTTAGCGAGAGTCGGTAATTGAATGAACTTTGAATTTAGTTCATTTTTTATATCTTCTTTAGATAGAGAACAAAAGCCCAAACTAATGGTAATGTTAACGCACATAGTAACATATGTAGGTGTGTACAAACGTATGCTCGGAAAGTGTAACACGTACAATATGTACTTTTTTTACAAATCCTCTATTGAAAATTGTTATTTCTCCTCTGAAATAAAGTATATTCATGTGTTTAATAAACTTGAAAAAGAGTCGTTTTAGTGTGGAGAGAAAAAAACTTCGGGGAATTGTCTTTTAAAACGTCGGTAAACCTATTAATGGAGACTTTGCAGAAATTTGATTATGTGTTGCAAATTAGAAGACCTAAATTAGATGAAGTTTTAATAAAACCACTCTATGACTTAGAGATGTTATGTTGCCTTAATGTAGATTTATTAACTTCACATTTTTTATATCCTACACCGTACATGGTATGAAGGGCATATTAAGTTCGTTATTCCGTTTGTAACTCATAACGATTAGAATTGACCAGTTTGTCTATTTTGTGATTTCGCCGGGATTAATTATCGGTTCAATGGAAATTTTGTCTTTTATTTAACGCAAGTGTTATGGTCTATTTCACCCACTAAATACTACCTGATGACCATCAAAATTGGTAGGCTTCTGCCCCAAGTTCAGCCCAATGCTAACTTCCGCTTCGATTGGTCTATAATTGCGACCTGTAGAGCAATTGCAAAATCAGAAAATTATTCAGTTTTTGTTCCATTCAAAATTTCGTGAAGATCGGGCCATAATTGCGACCTGTAGAGTGATTACAAATTAACATGGACTGACGGACAGACGGACGGACGGACATACATAGCTAGATCGACTAAGCTCGGCGAGGTAGGAAGATCCATATATAGTTTCCTATGTGGGAAACCAATATTTCGAGGTGTTACATAATTTTTGGCCCAATCAAACTTATAATACCCCCAACACATACTGTTGTAGGGTATAAAAATCCAAAAAGTACAAGAATTTACACCGCAACAGAAAGAAAATAGACTCAAAAGAGCTAAAGAGTTGCTTCGCTTGGTCGAAAGTGGTGAACTGTCGAATTTGGTTTTCTCCGATGAGAAAACATTCGTTGTCCAGCAGTTTGTCTACAAACAAAATGATCGTGTTTACTTTCCAAAGAGGTCAGCTGAAAATGTGCGCCTTCGGTTGGCCACCAAATTATCCATCAAGCGCCGGCCATGGTGATGGTGTGAGCCGTCATAACAGCCGATGGTCGCTCTCCGCTCTTATTATTCGACCTTGGCATGAGAATAAATGCCGAATATTATCGCGAAAATGTTCTGGAGAGCCGGAGATCTTGGATATTCCAACAGGAATCAGAACCATCGCACTCAGCAATGAGTTTCCACGCTTCATTTCCAGCGCCAATGGCCACCAAAATCTCCGGATACCAATCCGTTGGGCTATTGTGCCTAGAGTATTTTGTAAAGCAAGGTTGGTACTAAAAAATACCAATGTATCGATCAACTCAAGCAAGCGCTTCGCCGGGAATGGGCCAAAATACCGCAGATCAATATTTGGGCAGCGTGTGACGGTTTCATTGGCCGTTTGAAGGCCATAATTCGTGCCAAAGGTGACCAATTCGAACAAATCTAAACTTATTCTAAAATTTAATGCTATTTCCGACATTTTTTGATTTCATTCAATAAAATTTTAAAGAACAATTTAAAAATTATGGCGTTTAACTTTGTTGCAGTTTTTTTTATCTCACCCTGTAGTTCAGTTTTTTATGTTGAACATCAACCGTTCGGATGATGTATCCAAATCTGAAACGATTTCAATTAAAGTTGACAGAAGTATTTCTGAGCTCTATAAGATATCTGATACAAAATATCATTCCTGTGGGGTGCATATTACGGTTTTGAGGGACTTAAATTCAAAATCGGACGAAACATATGTATCGGGGCTATAGCTATATCTGATCCGATTTTCACCAAATTTGAAGTATTTGCCAAAAACCTTAAATCTCCTTTAAAGTTATATGAGGGCTATACCAAAAACGTGAACCTATATGGCAAATTTCCTACAGACCTAAATAATATAGGAGTAAAATTCTATGAATCTACTTCATTTCATTCGAAAGCTAGAGTGATTTCCACAAACTGACGGACGGACATCGCTAAATCGACATAAAACCAGTAAAGAAAGTCCTAAAGTCGGCCCGGTCCGATTTTATGATACCTTACACCACTCTGCTAATTTAGTTGAGCTACACATAACAATTAAAAGTTTTTATGGGAGAATTCCATCATACACGCTATGATTATAATTATAATTTAAAGTTCAAAAGACTAAATATGCCGAAGCATTTGTATCTCTTAAATTCGGACTTGTATTGCCCATTTGGTGCAAAATTATTTGAAATCAGATAAAGATATATATGGGAGCTATATCCAAATCTGAACCGATCTCGTTAAAATTTGGCAAAAATTTCTGAGCTGTATTTGATATATTTCCCTGAATATCGTTGTTACGGAGTGCATATTACGGCTGTGGGTAACAAATACAACAAATCGGATGAACAATATATATGGGAGCTACAGCTATATCTGAACCGATCTTCACCAAATTTGGCATCCTACCTTCTAGCTCCACATAACAATTAAAAGTTTTTGTGGGAGAATTCAATCA